TATTCTGTGTAAATTGCGTGAATAACACTTTTGTCCTGTTGGGGATGATTTAATTGCATTATACTTTATCTCTTTTCTGTCTATACATTTCCACAACTAGTAAGCATAATTCTAATATCCGAACTTCATATTTCAATATCTTTAGTTGAAGAATGGGTACACTAAGTTTAAAGTTAACTATTGTGAGCTATCCAAAGATTTTAATGTAAACATCTATGGTTACACTTTTTCACAAAGGATCTACCCCTCCAGGAATGAAATTTGATGAGGCCCCTCATTTTATATCTTATCACATAACTGGTTACTCTAGAATTTCCTACAAAGGATGGTGTCCAGGTGGCTGACACTAAGTTCATTTTAAAATTAATATAAATTTTATTGTAACAAAAGCTATATTATCCCTCAAGTTAAAATTCTGCTGACATGTAATAGCATTACTGTGATTTATGATTAATTTCAAAGTGATGGGGAAATGATATATTTTAAGTACTGAAGTTTTCAATCATATATAATTTCTGAGCCTCTAAAAGGAAAAAAAAATGATTACCAACTTCTCTTTTACATTGTGATTTCCTCAAGCGTTTGAAAAAGAAATTTTTTTTTCCAAAAATATTTTAAGGTATGAACTCTACATCATTTTTGAAACCTCCGAATATGAAGGTTTTTTACATATTGTAAAAGGCACAGGACACTTAATGCCATCAACATTACCCAACTTTTCCTGATAATCTCTTCTGTAAAAGAAAGTCTCATTTAAACTTTAAGATTTTATTTTCTTTAAGCATTTTTCTGTTAAGAAACTCGGTAAAGCCTGGTGTCTTATACGCACTGAATTTTTATTTTTCAAGTCCACCTAATGATTAACTCGTCTCAAAGTTTCTTGGAGTGCCCAAATCTTATTTTAGAATCTTTTCTATCAGAGAGATTGTTGTTCTTAGGACCCATGTGCCCCAAATTATCTCTGACCACCTAATGCAAAGCTTGCCAGATCTATGTGATTTTGAAAACTATAAGCAAACAAAGAAAAAACAACTGTAATTTAACATTAAAAAAAAAAAAGACTTTACTGAAAAGTTCAGTTTGGAAAATCCCTGGTGATAAGACATGCCATCAACTACTTCTAAGGATAAAACTTCTTATTTCTAGAGACATCTAAAGTTCCAGGGATTCCAAATGGGGAAGACAAGTGAGACTGTCACTGAAATTTCAAAACTCAGTTGGAAGTAAAGATAAATTCCACCCATGTTCGAAGTAGAACTGGTTGCTGTTGTTAACAGTTTCTGATTAAATGTATGTCATTTCACATTCAAATTATAAGAATATGGAGTTTTTCTGTGTTTCCATATTGGTGGGCACAATAAAGTTCTCGAAAGACCATATCTTTGTGCTTTTTATGTATGTGTGGAAAAAAAGTATTTTAGAACAGCACAATGTGAAAATCTTTTGCTCTCTAGATTTTAATGCCTCCATGTAAATTTCTAAGAATTATGGATCATTTTCCCCAAAAATGTGATTTAATGGGTATATTTTTCTCCGCATGAGTTCAGGATTCAATATGTATGACGATGCGGCTATACAAAGACAAGAAATCTGCTGGAAAGAGCAGTAGAGTTGAAAAGTGTTAAGTTTGAGATCTAGGATTTAAAAGAGAAATCGAAGACATAGAAATCAGACTGGAAGTTCACGTGCAGATCCAAGAAATCAGACAGGTAAAAGGAATGCTGGCGTCAACAAACAACGAAGCTTTACCGTCGAACTCCCATCAAGAGATGGGGGCGACAAGAAGCTGGTCTGTGACGGAAAAGAACATACTGCGATCTGAACAGAGAACAGGAAAATGTTCTGCAGTACAACGCGGGGCTCTGGTGGGCAATTAGAGAGTTGTCATTTCGCAGAGCCTTCCCTTTAAAGAGACATCACCCTAGCCCTAACTCCAGGCCTCTGCGGTCCAGGGGGCCAGACTTCCTCCCCTCCACTGCGCCTGTGCAAGGCGACCCGCAGGATGGTTCTTCCGCCGCCCTATCAGTGTCACGCTTCCGCCGTGACTCCAGGTCTCTTAGAGGCAATGCACAGCACAAACACATTCAAGGATCCTGCCAGATCCATGGCATGATGTTGGGCCAGGCTTATGTTTCCTCTCTCCCACAGATGCTGCAGTATTTTGAAAAACAGGGCCAGGCGAGCCCCTCGCTCTCATTTCCTGTGAAGATCCAGACTAATGGCGACAAAAGAGGTCCAGCCTCTGTCTTCCGGGAATGCCATAAGTAATATCTGATTACAGATGTTACAGTTTAAATTTTCTTTGTTTTAGGTTAAGGAAGAGAAAGGGCCCATGTCGAAAAGGAGGGGGAAAAAGTGAGTTGACACAACAGATTGTGACAGATTTATTACTATTTATCACGGTAAATATGTATCGCAGAAAACATATAAATGTCTTTATCTAGTCGTAATCACTCCAAAGGAAACCTTTGATTAGCCCCAATTTCTTATTATTTGTAATAAAAGTATTCACACATACTGAAGCAAGTTTTAGGAAGTGTCTCTTGTCAGATTTACAGTCATTTTTATTTGAGCTTAAAAAAAGAATAAACATGGCAGAGGTCTAAAAATATGAAAATATGGGTCTACTGGGGCAAATGTGCTACAGTGACTATTGCAGACTCTTTAGATCAAATTAAAACATATATATTTTGTGTGGTGGTAAGGCATGTGGATCTTGTTGTAAATAATAAGCAATCCAATACATACAACAAACCCAATATAAAATAAGTTAAATTGTGATTAGAACAGAGCTGAGATTTTTTTTCCAAGTAGTAACAATAAATAGATGACTGGATTCTAAAATCGACCAAACTAAGTCATTCTTTTTTGCTTAAAAAAAGAAAAAACAAATAAAAAATAACAAGGATAAAATTTCCATTTCAATTGAATTTTCCTCCTTGCCTTTCCAAAAACAGGCTCTATTTACAAAAATGTTCTTTCAGGACCATTAAGACATTTAGCCAAGATAAATTGTCTAAGAAGAGTAAATCCTGAACTGACCATCAAAAGCCAAAAATTAAATAATACAAATTAAATTTCCAATTCCAGATCTACTGGGAAGAAAGGAAAGACACTTTTATATTTCTAAACATCTGACAACACATCAACAACACACAAACTGTCTAAACAGCAAAGAAAAACTATTTTCAGTGAAATTTTCTACAGGGAAAATTAGCTCTAGGGAAATACTTAAAAATTTACAATGAAGTAGGAGAAATTATTGTTGACAACGATTAAGCAGATAGATATTATCTAATGCCATTCCAAAGCACTCCTTGGAAATTGTGTCGATTTCTACATAATTTTAGCATTGGAAAAAACAAAGTTCATTTGACTCTGATCTTATAAATAAGGTTCTATAACTTTAAGTTTTCCATGGCTTTTATGACACACAGCTATTCTATCATTTCAGAAGAGTCAAAGGTCCACTTACTGTATTTAATACTGTCCGTATTAGGTTCAAGCATGTTTAAAATGTAAACAGCTGTGAGGACTATATCATTTGAAGTTGGCATAAAAGCTATTAAAAGCTAAAGTTTCATCTATATTAAATCCACCACAAACTTCAAGCTTAAAATATGCTTATAAAAACCTGAGGGGATATTAGTCAATTTCAATACAGCATAGAAATTTAAAGAATAAACCACTTGGTACATTTTTACGTGACTTACTGGTAGTCCAAAGTGACTATTTTATACACCATTGGCAGTTTTATTTACACAATATTTTTCTATATTTATGGATAATTTTGTGATGCTTCTACAACATTACCAAGTCTATGATAATCAGCATACAAAATTTGTGTTTTTTTCCTGATAAAGACTCACTCTGATATATTCACTTAATAATTTTTTGGATGAGCTGAACTGAAATCAAGTCAAATACACAGGTGTTTGGGTTAATCTAATCTTAGCTCATTTGCAAAACCTATTATTCTCCTAATTTATTAAAAATGAAGTAAAACTAATATGCGAGCATTGATTGGTAATATGTTTTCAGAAACCCAAATATCATTTTATTTCAGAGGAGAAGAACTTACAATAGGGCTCATTAGCATTCTTTTCAAAGAATACTAGTGCCCTACAGAGCACAGAATTAAATGAAATCAAAACTGTGTATCTATACCTGTATCTATCTCGAAGGAAGGAAGGAAGGAAGGAAGGAAGGAAGGAAGGAAGGAAGGAGAGAGGAACTCATATTTTTATTCTATGTAAGAAGGAAGCTCGTTAGGGAAAGACTGGTTCTAAACCAAATTAAACAAAATCATCTAGGAACTCAGATTTGAAAATATATGTTAGAATTGAAAATAAAGAGATCTTATTTAGTTGTGATCACAACAGCCTTTTGCTACATTAGAGACTAGAAGGACCTCAGCCGCGCCCCAGTCCAGCTCCAGGTATTAAAAAGACCCAGAATGCTCTTGGTTACAGATGTTTCCTCTGGTTGTCACCTGGTACTCCTGACACAAATGGCTACTGATGCGGCTACCTCTGAAGCTTTTATTCAGTCACCTCTCTAGAAAATAGAGACATTCTCTCTGCATTCTGGGCTGAAACCCATGTAAATTTTTGCTAAATCCTCTCCACAAATCTCCTTTCGCATGCAAATCCATAAATCATCATAATACCGACAAAGAATTTAACCAACAGATGAAACTAATACTCATTCTCTTGAAAGCCCTGTACAGGTAAAACTCCTCCAACTTCAGGCACCTTTTCAAGGCTCTCTTCGCAGCTTAACCTGCTGAGTATCAACACAACCACCCAGCCTTCCAGGATATGCAATTAATCACTCCAACACGGGTCAGGTGGCTGGACGTGCGGGTCGCTCCTACCCCGGCCAGATTCTAGAGAAACGTGCAGCTCTGGCGCCTAGCACCTTGTCACTCCCCTCTCCCTCGCATCAGTACGAAACAACAAAATAAACAATATGCAAAAGCAGAAACAAGCAGTACTTACTGAAGATGGCAAACCTGGAGGAACTTTTCGAACTTTCTTTGTCTGCACCTCTGAAAGAGAAGGAAGAGGGGCGGTGAGGTCCCCGCATGCCCATTTTCCTAACTAAAACAGATTACACCACGAAGCCATTTAGATTAGACCAGATTTTCTTAAGTCGTTACCTTAGCAAAATGTCAGTACCGCTCTCGTATTTTATTCTGGCAGACATCAAATTCTGCCTTTTTCGTAAAAATCAAGATCTTTAACTTTTTTTAAGCTTTGATTTTTTTTTTAAAGTTGCCTTATATGGGCAGCCAAGAGAAAACAAAAAATAAGCATACACCAAAATAGTTCTCTTGCTACTAGAAGTTGTTAACATACCCATCCAATGTACTACCGGGGAGGGGTGGTCACGAGCCTGACATTTGAGGAAAATTTTATGGTTTTGGAGGGTGGGGTGAGGGTAGGGCGAGAAGGGTGGTATTAAAAGAGAGAAGAAAGAAAAAGACGACTAATAATCACTCAGGCATTCAGACAGAGGAATACCTTACCCATGGCACTACTGTGAAGAGGCCTCCTTCGGGGGTTATTGCTAGAATACTGATAATACTGGGAGCCAGGTTTGGTGGGCGACAGGGTTCCTGGGGTGCCCATATCCATGTCACCTCCAAGGAGACTCTGCTAAAAGGTTAAAAAGGGAAAACAAACATGTAAGGTTAGTTTTTCTGCATTCACCAGCCCCCAACTGATTGTTAGTACTTAAACCCAGGCCATAAACAAAACAGCATCTGGTAAAACTGCAACAATGGCACAACAACCAAACAAAAGGGAAAGCAATCTCAGAAGCCAGCCCAAAGTTTGTGATTCTTTTTTTTGTTAATTCTTTGCTTTTGAGAGGAAGGTGGAAGAAGGTGATTCTCTTTCAACAGTATTTTCATCTTAAGACAGCTCACATTTTAATTTTTTTTAAGAAGAGGGCATTTAGGTCAGACTCGTGGTTTGGGGGTTTTTTGTTTTTTGGTGTTTTTTTTGTTTTTTGTTTTTTTTTTTTGCTTGTTTGTTTCTAATCGACACTTGGGCTCCTCTCTGGGAACTATCCCTGCCCTTCCTTCACAAGAACCCAAGAAGAACCTGATTTTTCGGACGCACGCACAACTTCCCCCCGCTGCTCACATTGGGGGTGAGTGGAGAACGCCCCCGTCCACTGAGGACTCTGCCTCTCTCCATCGGCACAGCTCTACCCTCCGCGGATTTACACGGCACCCACAGAAGAGAAAATGCCAGCGGAGCCGGGCGTAAACTCAAATCTCACACTAACTTCCAGAATCACAGAGATAGAGGCATTCTAAGCTAACAGGAACAAATTAAAGGACATTAGAATGCCCTCTTGAGGACTACTGGAAGCTAAAACACATCCCCACAGATTAAACATTTACCTGAGCCCTAGAGAACTTTCACAAATATCATGAACTTACCACAGGGTGATAAATGACTAAACTTTCGAAAAGGATGACACGCGAAAGATTCGATAATAATATTACAATGTCTAAAAACTACATAAAAACTTACCCATAATATATAAATCGCCTGATTATACTCTGCATTGAACACATTGTTCTTTTAATTAGTCTGATATGCAAGAAAACAAGTGTAGATACGACCATTTATATTAAGAACAAATTTACTGTTTAATAAAGAAATTTTAAAATTAAGTACTAAAAATCTAACTTTATCGTTACTTGTAATCAACTTTTACTGACTGAACTAATTACTGTCCTTGATAAAGTACAGAATGTGTTTTCCCTAATCTAAATTCTAATCACCATGTCACTCACAACAGACTTAGGGATGCTTCACTAACACACTATTCACATGCAAAATACTCTAAATAGGCCAATTATGACTCTGCCCCTGTTCCCTGGTTAACCCGCTGAGAACTGAAAAATTTCACAAGGCAGTCACCAACTAAAACAAAGAGTCCTTGTTTTAAATTAAGACAGTCTTTTTGATTCCTAAATAGCTCAACAAAGTGGCATGTCTTCTAGTGAAAGCAGTTGGTCAAATATGACCCATAAGCTGGAAAATCAAAAATTCAAACCTCCCCTTTCCAGGGCCATATAGCTAAATATCATAAAGAGGACCTCTCTATTCCAAGGGATTTTTGTGAGTGCTGGATGAGTAATATATAAAGGACTAATCAGTTACTGACAAGCTTGCCTTCACTGATTCCAGTTTCAGACTTTTCCAAGGGATGCATGACGAACGTTACTTTAAAATAAAACTTCGAGGAGGAGATTTTAGGTTGGAGGCTCATTTTGAGCGAAAACTCATGGCGAGTCTCTCCGTGTTTGCCACATGGATACCAGATAAAGCCAGAGTATTTACCAGATAAAAACCTGACATCTGCACGTTCTCTTGCTGCCTCTTCCGAACTTAAGAAAGATATCCAAATGCTACCCAGGGACAAACTAAAATACAGAGCTCTTTGCAATAGTTTTCTACAAATCAGGAATCCAACAGCCTAACATCAAATGATTTATTATAAGTGGCATTCAAGAATTTTAGAATCTGAACCTGATATTTCACTCTTGGTAAATCTTACTAACAATATCTTTATTTAAGCCCAAGTTTTCTTTGAAATTTCCATCAAAAAAAGCTGTGAGTGATTTAAATCACAACCTCCTCACAGTCTGGGAAATTTACAAATAAGCTTTCCCTTTCATGAGAAGAGGAGTGTGAAGATGACATTATTGAAAACTTTGTATTTTAGGCAGACATCACTCCTCATTCTTCATTTATCTTTTTCTCAAATAATACAAAATATTCAAACAAGGACTGAGCAGATATGTTGAAATGCTTGCTTGTCTCCTTAATGAGCTTAACCACTGCTTAATTCTTGTTGGTCCTGGTGGCAAAGGTTTCCACTCCCAAGAAAGTAGATGCATTCAATAGGTCAACATAAAAACAAACAAGTTTGCTATACTGTGTTTTAGCAGCATTTCACAGCAGAGCTGTGAAAAATGGAAAATGATAACTAGGAGATCGCTCACTGGCTGTGGCTGACCTTACTGTTGTTAATTTAAAAGAAAATCATTTCACGGGCCAGTTGTGACTAAATCATGCACCCAACCCTTGCGTGTGCAGCCACATGAACTATGGACAGTGACAGAGGACTAAGACCAGATAGCACTTCCACACAAGCAAAGGCTCACGCTAATCTTTTTTTCTCCCCTTTTTTTTTTCCACAAAGCACATTCCTGTTTCTTTCTTTTTAGACCTGTTTGTTCCTTTTTCTTTTTCTCTCAGACAATAGAATCATTCTTCTAAAGCAACAAAAATAAGCATTCCCTCATACTTAAGGGGGCCCTAATCACCCCCCTAGGGAAAATTAAGATAAAAATATATGTGTTCCTATTGTAGAGTATACTTGTAAAATGAACAATAACCATTTACTATTGTTTGGCCTTTACGTCACGCGTTTAACTCTCTTTAGCGAGGAGAAAGAGAAAAAAAAATTTCCACTGGCTAAAAAACCTGAGTTTATGAAGTTAGAAAGTTAATGGCATTCCATTTAATAACGTAAATTGAATATGGCACAAAATGGATAAGGCATTCATTTACATATGAATTCACCTGCATGAGTGTATGTGTATATATATATATGTATATATACATATATATACATATATATATATACAGAGAGAGAGAGAAAGAGAGGCACAAATTTTCACTTAATAAAAGTTGTTTGGAAGCTAAAGCCTACGTTCAAAATGGGCGAGTTCGTCTTTGCCTTAAATAAGACTGTAAAGGTTTCAGGGTTTCCGCATTGTGCAAGCTCATGCTCTGTGGTTATGCTGGGTCCCAGTACAGAGCTGCCCGAGTCCGCCAGGAAACACTGGAAGCAAGATGTGACATCTCGCACAGCTAACCTGTAAATCTTAAACCCATAGTTTAGCATTTTGTTTAACTGTCTGCAACGTGATGTGATGAGCCCTTCCCCTTCTTCACTCCTTATTTTCTTCCGAAGACAAACTATCTTAAGACTTAAAATACCCTAACCAAAAAATAGAACCTGCTGACTCTGTTAACTGGGTTTAAATATCTTGGGGTCCACCACCCCCACCCCCGACAACCAACCCTTCGGCACAAAGTCCCACCAGAGCCCTTCAAATGCCAAATGCAGAACTCTCTATGAGGGTCCCTTTCTATTAAATTTTTTTGTTTGTCTTACATCAGATCTGGGTCTCCATCTAACACATTCTCAACCCCTACCCCAATTCCTTCAGGGCGGTGGTAGGGGGCAGGGAGCTTTTTAACATCCTTGATCAACCATTGAAGTTCTCTTATGCAACCAAGAATGCAAACCATGAATTAAACTTGAGTAACAGAAAAGCAGCATATATCTCAAATTAGATTTATAACTGAATGGTAATCAAAAATAGAACTCACTGCTTCGAGCTTAAATTATCAACTTTTTTCTTGTTAAACTAAAATCATCTTGCTCTGAACTATTATTTCATTTCAGTCAGCACTTTAGATGTAATGGGTGGGTGGTACATTTCTAAAAAGGAAGATTATATTTACCCTTAATTATAGATATGAGTGAGATCAGAGTACGATGAATGCTGCTTTTTGGCTTATAATTAATTCATCTAATAGGTGAATGACCTTGAATTTCAGAGTTGGGATCTGGTGGGGTGGGGGAAGAAGTAGGAGAAAAAATTATCTCTGGGGAAAAGCAAATGTGCCCCTGATTTCTCAGAGCTTTCTCTGATTTTGCGTCATTCCCATTACGTTGTGATCCGGTATCAGACACAACATCTTGGGGGGATGTTGTAGAACAGAGAAAAGCAGTCTCAGATGAAACCAGATTAAGCTCCTTTTCTGAACTATTGCCAAATGCTTGTGAGTCTAATTCATGTTTGGGTATTCTAGTACTCACACAGCTGCAATTCCATTCTTTCATCACAAACCTAAGTGATGTATAGTGGCTTTGTATGGCGAACTGACTCTATAAAGCCAGGAATTTTGGAAGGCTTTACGTTAATAATGGAAATAAAATTCTGAACTAGTATAAAACTTATGAATGCTGGATATTTGTATGGATACCTAATCGACTTTGCAGTACTAAGTGCAAAATACACATCGAGCAAAATTACCAATTATATTTGTTTAAAACACATTTTTTAAAAAAATCGCAATTGAGGTCATTTCTACATAGTGAATTCTGCACAGAATCGGGTTTTCAAAGACACTGCTGAATAAGATTTCTAACAGCCATGGGGAAGTTTTTGCAAATCCCTGTCGAATAGCTGCTGCTGAATCTGCCATTTTGACCACAGAAGGGCCATTGCTGACTTACTATCGTAGCAGGAGGGGGCGATAATTTTGCTGCTGTTGGCACTTCCTCTGCAACCCAGAATATATCTCACACCAAAGGGCAATGAAGAACACAATATTTCCACCTGTCCAGTTTTGAACTTCGAAGCTCAAAACTGAAGGTCAGTCTTTGGACAGTCTCTATTCCCAATAGCTGAATGTCTAAGAATGCACCTTTATAGTTTATTTTGAGTTCTGTATTATACTTGGTTTCAACAAAAAAGAACTCTGGAAACTCAGATAAGATGGCAAGGGTAACTTTCATAATCCGGGACTTAACAGATTGTGCTGCAGAGAAA